CGTTTTCGTCTGTCACGTTAAGTTTAAAAATAAAATAAAAAAGATGTCAACAACTCCCTTCAAGTTTCAAATTTAAAAAAAAAAATAAAAAAAAATTATTATTATTTGAAATTAAAACGTAAAACAAACAAACAAACATTCCATAAAATTCGAAACAATTTTCAACTTGCATTGAGTTTATTATTATAATTTTTTTAATTTTTAAAAAATTTCGTCGTTATTTTAAACAACAAACGAATTTTAGTTTTTTTTTTTTAAAAAAAAAAAAAAAAAAAACGATTTTAATGACTTAAACTCACGACGAAAATGTATTCACGTCGTGAAAAAACAATTAATACTTTTTTAAAAATGTTTTTAAATAAAAAAAACTCACCAGAAATAAACAGAATCTCGGCCGTAATTATTAAATAAATTTTCTCTAACCAGTCTTATGTGGTAAACACTGATCAATGCCAATATGGAATACTAAAACAAACAACAACTCCGCTTGGAAATATCAGCGTTGCCAACCTTATTTTTTTTTTTTCTTCCATTTTTTTTCCTTTGACGACGGTGGCGGCGCTAGTGAGAAAAAAACGAAACAAATAAATAAATAAAACGTAGGATGTTAACTGTTTACGTTATTGACGAACGAACGAACAAACGAACGTTACGCAAACCGCCATTTGTTTTTATTATTATTATTATTATTATTATTATTATTTCGAACGCGCATAATCAATTTATGACGCATTTAATTTTGATAAATACCTCCTCCCCTCCCCCTCCCCCTCCTCCCGAAAAAAAAAAAAAAAACAGAAAAACTAAAAACTTTTAACAATGATATTGTTTCTTTAAAAAAAAAAAAAAAAATTAAATCATTTATTATTATTATTATTATTATTTATTTACCTAATTAATAGATAACGATATTTGTTTTAATGACTTATTCCTTTGTTTTTATCAATTAATAATAATAATAATAATAATAATAATAATAATAATAATAATAATAAATTAAAACGCACGCGCATACTTTATTTATTTATTTATTTATTAATGCGTACGTTTGCCGGACACAATGAACACATGCTTTTCCTTTCCTTCAAAAAATACGTTTGTTTGTTTGTTTGATTGTTCGTTTGTTGCTTGTACGTATTTAAGATGTCAACGCGCGTATATATAATTATATAATTAAAATATATTAAAAAACGCGCGTGAGATGATGAGGGGGGCAAAAATTTAGCTCGCGTGTAGTAAATAAATAAAAAAAAAATCGATTAAAAAATTTTTTTTTTTTTTTTTTTTTTTTTTTTATTCACGAAGGCTCGTGTCCCAATTTTCTCGTTTGTTTGTTTGTTTGTTCGATACGACTACCGTTTGCTAAATAATAAATAATAATAATAATAATAATAATAATAATAATAATAATAATAATGGGTAATTAAATTCGATGGGTTAAAAAAAAATAAAATACCGATCCCGTGACTTGTCCTACAAGTGTCATAAATAACTCAAATGAACAAATGCGTAAAAACGAAAAAAAAAAAAAAATTTTTTTTATGTCATTTTTTTTTTTTTTTTTTTTTATTTCTCTGAGCAAAACAAATTCGATCGATTTAATTTTTTTTCATTCGGGATCTTTAATCGTTAAAAAAAAAAAAAAAAAACAAAAACATGTCCCCGTAATTGAGTTTGTTTCGTCCCAAAAAAAAAAAAAAAATTAAAGCCCGCGCGTGTAAATTTTTGTTTGTTTTCAAACGGTAAATTTTAATTATCTTTGGTAACATTCTTTTTTTTTTTTTTTTTATTTACGCTATTATTTTTTTGATTTTTTAGTTTAATTGATAACAACAACAGCATCGAAACGCTCCTCCACGCCATTTTTTTTTTTTTTTTTTTTTGCGGAGAGGGGGATTTAAACGAACAAACGACAAACAATCCAACAAAAACGACGACACGGTTATTTGTATATAAATAAATACTTAAATATTTAAAACGTTTTAGTTATAAAAATGACCGCTCGATGGCAGCACTTGTTCAAAACAAATCTAATTACACGTTTCGAACGTCCGCCATATTTTTTTTTCAAATTGTAATACGCGGCAAAAGTAAAAAACAAACAAATTTAATAAATTTAAAAAAAAAAAAAACCTTAAAAAATTATTATGGAAAAAAAATGTATTTATTTATTTATACTTTCGATTCTCCCCTCATTTCAACCGTTAACCCCCTCCCCAGATAACCGTTTCGATTTTTCATTTCTTTTTAAATGATGTAACCGTTATGTATGCCAACAACAACAACAACAACAACTCAAACTCCTTTACTCGTTTTACGTAACATTTTAAGGAAATACCGATAAGAGTAATAACGCTCTCTCATTATTACCGGTACCTGTTTCCTATGACCCCGAATACTCATTTCTCTCATCTTGTTTTCACTACTACTACTACTCGTATAATGAATTTTGTATTTTACTTATCATCATTATTATCATTTAAAAAAAAAAATTATATTAAATTACGTAACTTCCGAGTTTTTAAAAGTTGGTTAAACATATTTTCCATGAGACGAACAAAAAAAAAAAAAAAAAATTAAAATTTTAAAAAAAGGGGGCCCGAAAAGAGAGAGAGAGAGGAGAGATGACGATGTAGTTTTCATAATTTTTTTATGTGGAAAATTTAATTTAGCAAACTTATTGCTTACCTATCGGCCATTTTTTTTCCAAAGTGAGTGAAAGTTGTCGTCACGATTTCCATTGTTTAAATTCGATTTGTTTTCCCTTTTTTTCCCCCTGGAATTTAAATTAAAATGAATTATTAAAATCCACGACGACGACGACGACGACGACGAAGATGATGATGATGATGATAATGATGATGATGATGATTATGACTAATAATACGCAAGTGTCAAAGTTTAAAAAAAAATTTTATGTGCACGCACGAATTTACTTACGATGTTACCCAAACATCTCACCTTTGCTTCCCCCCATTCTCCCCCCCACGGGAAAAAACCGAAATCTCATCAAAAGAGTAATAAAATAACAGTTCAAAGAAATAATTACAAACCGGAAATAAAAAAACGATTAATCGATAAAAAAAAAAAAACGAACGTCGAAATGGAAAAAAAAAAAGGGTAAATGGTGCATTGCAACAGGTTCGCGACATTTGTCGCGAAAGTACGTAATAATAATCATCGATGATAATAATGATAATAATAATAATAATAAAATACGTCACAGCTTTCTTTCGCGCTTGTTTATATTTTTTTTTTAAATGGGGAAATAAGAAAATCGACCAAACAAAAAATTAAACTTCCCAACTTCCGCCATTATCTAACTCGTCCGGTAACTTTACTTACGTTCGTCTTTTCTTTTCTTTTTTTTTTTTTTTTTGTTTTTAGTACGATTAAAAAAAAAAAAAAATTACGTTGGTTAAAAAAGTGCGACAAAAACTTTCCTCGCGGTAATTTTTTTTTTTTTTTTTTTTAAATTACCACCATCGCGGTGGTGGTAATTTTCCACGACCGTTTTTTCATTCGTGAAATGAAAGGTTTGTTGTTGTTTTTTCTTATATTACATTTTTCAAACGTTTCCATTTAATTTTTTTTCGAAACCCAAACTACGACAAGTTTTTCCTCTCTACCCCCATCTCCCCACCCCCCGCTTCCACCTGGTAATTTTTTTTTTTTTCATTCTCGTCTACCTAAATCCCTTTTAACCGATGGTGAAATTCAATAAGTGTGCGAAATAATTACCCGGTACCTACCACGAGTTGTTTTGCGGTAAGCAAAAAAAAATTTTCGAAATTTAACATTTCGAATTTTTCCATCGCCATCTTTTTTTCTTCCGCCCTCCCCCTTTCCCCTCCTCTCTTACAAATACGTGAAAACTTTTACCGTTTAAAAAAAAAAAAAAAAATTTCCGGCAACGTATTTTTTTAAAAAATATTTTTCACTTCGTAATAAAGTAATTATCGTCGCGGTTGACGTCGTCATCATCATCATCATTATTATTATTATTATTATTAATAATAAGTCGGGGGGGGGGGGTGATTATGTCACTTTATTGCCAGTCTCGTGTTTGTTATATAGAGGCTATTACGAACGAACGGTGGTGAAAGTCATGTACGACGTATAAGACCAATTCTTAATTTCTCAATGCAATAACAATTTATTTACAATTTTTTTTTTTTTTTTTTAAAATAATTTATCTTCTGCTCCGAAATAATAATAATAATAATTTTAACGAAAAAAAAAAACAATTCTACTGACACGGATACAAACGATCGTAATTCAAAATTTCTAGAAATTATTTATTACGAAATATTTATTTATTTAATTTTTTATGGAACGGATAGATAGAGAGAGAGAGAGAGAGAGAGAGAGAGAAACGTTACGAAATTCTAAAACTTTAATCTTTAAACCCTACCCTCCCCCCCCCCCCCCCTCCGAACCGCAGTAACCTTTTATAGGAACCTTTTTTTTTTAATTTTCCAGTATCGAAACGAAATCATTGAATAAAAAAAAAAAAAATTTTTTTTTTTTTTTTTTTAAAACAAGTTGAGTCTTTTTTATTCTTAACCACATTTTGAAGGAGATTACTTTCTTTCTCACTACTTTTTTTTTTTTTTTATACGCTTTATGTATAACGAGATGAAAGGAGTTCGGATGCTGTGATTAAAGATAGTAGTAACAAAATCAGTGGTAGTAGTAATAGTAATATTAGTCTTTTACCGCGTGCGACAACTTATACATTTTCATTTCGGAAAAAAAAATTATTTGTGTGTCGTTAACAAGTAAAAACGATTTTTTTTTTTTTTTTTTTTTTTCATATCGCGACAGGTACGTAATAATAATAATAATAATAATAATAATTTTTATATTTTTTAAACCGTAAGTTATAGAATAAACATTCGATATTTTTTTTTCGAAAAAAAAAGGAAGCTGCTGCAGCATGATTTTATAAGTTACTTTAAAATTAAAAGAAAAGAAAAAACGTCATCGTCATCATCATCATGTGTATAAAAGACAACAAAAATTGTCGCGAAGATGGTAACATCGCGACGACAGAGGTAAATACATTTTTTTGTTCCTGAAGGTATTTTAAATAATAAAAGTTTTATCGTGGAATTAATTTTGCCTTTTTTTTGTTTTTCCTACACAAGTGCGAAAATTCAAATTCATCATCAAACGTTCAAAATTTTTATACGGATTCTAAAATTCTCGTGACTGGGGCGACGGGTTTTATTGGTAAAGCATTGGTAGAAAAACTTTTAAGATCCTGTCCGAACGTGACGACCATATACATGCTAATAAGGCCTAAAAGAGGTTTGACATCGGATATGAGACACGAAAAACTTCTCGGAAGTTCGGTGAGGTCACCGTTTATTTAAAATAAAAAAAAATTTTCCTTTCGATTTTTATAATGACCCCCTTATCCCTCCCTCTCCCATTCGAATCTTTTCTAGATTTTCGACACGATTCGAAATCAAAGTCCGGAATTATTGAAAAAACTTGTTACCATCGAAGGAGATGTGAGCGATGAAAATCTCGGTTTGTCAGAATCCGATAGGAAAACTTTAGCAGAAGAAGTCGATGTCGTTTTTCATTCTGCTGCAACCGTGAGATTTACCGAAAAATTAAAAGACGCCATCGAACTCAACACTCTCGGTACAATCAAAGTCATACAAATGTGCAGAGAAATGAAAAATTTAAAGGTAAACATCATCAATCACACACACACACACGCACCTTATCAATAATTTACGTGTAATCCTCTCCGCGCACACGCACCCTCACCCTCACGTTAAGCCCACCCCCCCCCTTTTTTTTTTTTCCTAATTACGACTCGTCGCTTTTCTCCGTTTGGAAAATTTTTACTTAAAGTTTTTCTTCTTCTTACCCTAAAAAAAAACTTTTTTCATTTCCTTTTAATATTTTCCATTTAATCCATTGTAATCCTCTTATAGGATTCTTTATTTGATTCTATAAAAACCCACGAGTTGTAACTACCACCTAATAATAATAATAATAATAATAATAATAATAATACGTAAACATTTTTAAAACCCTCGTGCGTGTGATTATGACGTAACAAACAAACAAACAACATAAAATATTTTTATAATTTTGTCAATAGGCGTTCGTGCACGTTTCAACTGCGTACAGCAACGCTGACAAATACGAAATACTCGAAACGGTTTATCCGTCTCCCTGCGATTTGGAAGACCTAAAAAATTGCTGCGGAAACGAACCCATAGAGAAAACAATCGAGAAAAAATTAGTCGGAATGCATCCGAATAATTACACCATGACAAAAGCCGTGTCCGAATACGTCATAAGCACTCAGGCAAACGATTTACCGGTTGCCATAGTCAGACCTTCCATCGGTACTATAAGGATTTAAAAAAAAATAAAAATATTTGCAAAATTGATTAATGCCACGAACTAAAAAAAATTTAATTTTCTCAACAGTTACCGGTGCTTGGAAAGAACCCGTACCCGGATGGGTGGATAACGTGTCTGGAATATCGGGGATTATGATAGAAATAAGTCGGGGAACGTTAAGAAGCATTATATGTGATGAAAAATGCATCATGGATGTCATACCCGTTGATGTCGTCGTTAATACACTAATAGCAGCTGCATGGCAAACGGCAACTCATAGGCACGTACTAAATATCATTAAAACCTAACACAACAACAAAATGGCGACCGGAAATTAAAATATAATTTTTTTGCACAGATCGATAATTGTTCCGGTGTACAATTGCACGTCGGGTACTTTAAATCCAATTTCTTGGCACAAATACGGAAGGCTAACGGAAAAACATTGTCTCAACGTACCATCCAAATACGTACAATGGTATCCAGGATTTTCCTTCACGACAAACAGGTTTCGTCACACTCTCATAGAATTATTTATGCAATTTTTTCCAGCACTTTTCATCGATTTGATAATGATATTAAACGGAATGAAACCCATGTAAGTTTAATTTTCCCCTCGGAAAAATGACGTGCGAGAGAGAGAGAGAGAGAGAGGAAGAGCCTCAACAATCTTATCATTTTCATTTTCCAGAATGTTCGAAATAGCAAAAAAATTTAAAAAAGCATGTAAAAACGGTGAATATTTTGCATTGCACGAATGGAAATTTCAATGTGACAATTTAATTAGTCTTAACAAAGCACTGACGGCAGAAAACGACAGGAAAACCTTTTGTGTCGACGTAGAAAAAATCGATTGGGACGATTATGTTAAAAATTATTTGTTAGGTTTAAGACGTTTCGTATTAAAAGACGATCCGAAAACATTAGATGGAGCACGTAAAAAATTACACAGGTAATAATAATAATAATAATAATAATAATAATAATGATAAAATACCTGATAACGACGGTTTATGTTCATATCCTTATTTTTTCTCTCTCTTTTTTTTTTTTCAGGCTTCGTTTGCTTTCAAAATTTTTCAAATTTTTTTCTTACTTCATGTTTTTCTACTTATTAAAATGGTTTTTCACAATTATTTATTATTATTTTCCTTGATTCGTTGAAAGAAAAACCACGACGACGAACACGACGGAAGGTTGAAAACAAAATGTCAAAAAAGGAAAATTTCACCTGAAAAAATTAATAATAATAATAATAAATAAAAAAAATTTTTTTATCAATACGTGATGCATCACCTGAAACTTGATTTTTACCAAAAAAAAAAAAAAAATAATAATAATAATAATTATTATTATCGATAAGACGATTGATTTTGTTTTTGTTTAATTTAGTTTTATAAATAATAAATAAATAAATAATCGTTTATTCTTGTCATCACCACGACCAAGATGGATGCGTTTTCCAGTTTTTACACAGTCAACACTTAATCACACAAAAAATATTTTTTATTTTATTTTTTATGTAATTTTTATTATTATTATTATTTTTAAAATATGTTTTACAAATAAAATTACAACAATGAACACAATCAATAAATTATATGTATATGTGCAAAAAGCAAAATGATATGCATTATGGCTTTCATTTATTTTTTGTTGAAAAAAATAAATAATAATAAATTACATAAATTCATTAAACTTTTTTTTTTTTTTTTTTTAAATTAAAAAACATTTACATGCAATATATATATATATAAATATATAATTTGATTAAAATTAATAAATTTTTTTTTGAATAAATAAGTTTAATAATAATATTATTATTAATATTATTTTAATTAATTATTATTGAAAAAACAAATTTTTTAAAAACATTCAATGGGAAAAAAGCTCATATAATAATATGTTTTTTAATAAAAATGATAAATATTTTAAAATTTTATATATGTATATATATGTAATTTTATATGATTATTATTATTATAAAAATTTAAATAAAACAAAAGAAAAAAGAAAAAAAAAAAATTTCAACAATAAAAAAGACAAAAAAACAATCGAACAATAAAATCACATTAAATGAAATGAATCATTTCAATCGAAAAAACAATCGAGTAATTTAATAATAATAATAATAACAACAATAATAAAACAATGATGGTATTAATCAATCGATTAATAATAATAATAATAATAATTTAAAGAATATTTATTATTGCTTCAAAAGGTATCATCATTGAATCATCATAATAAATAATTAACTCATCGAGCTACAGGGAAATATGGGTGAACCCATTTGGGTTAAAACTCTATCGAGCCATTGGAGAGGACCATTCAAGTGTATTTCGATCCAACATGGAGTTGATGTTATGGTTTGTCGTTTATATTCAGCACCCCATCCTTTGACAAAACTCATTCTTGTCGTACACATTCTTGTCATTTGATAAACAGCTTCGAAACCTTGCGTTATGCTTTGATTTAATTGTGTTGCAAAATCTTGACAGTTGAATATTTTCAAATTGCAACCTGTTGGTACTTTGCAGACTGTGGCAGGATGCCATCCGTGTCTGTGATTGCAATTTGGACTCTGTATGAAAACTGCGCTTTCACTCAAACATTCTGCATAAACATCTCCTCCAATGTAATACAATCTAACTCCTTTACCGATTGCACTCCTCGTTTTCTCCACCGCGAGACTCCTTTTAACGTTTGATAATAATCCAACGCAAAATCTTTCCGAATTGCTGGGATCGGTGAAACCATCGATTGTAACCGAAGGTTGTGATGCGTGAAATGTTTCACCCACGCGATTATTAAATTCGTAATATGATATGGCACACCAAAAAGCAGGTTCGCAATAAACAACCGGTCTAAAAACGGTCGGATTTAAAACCGTATTATTCCCTTCGGTTATATTTTCCGTTTGTACCGTGTTATTAGAGCAAATTGATTTGTTAACGCAGCTATATGAAAAACTAGCCTTTTCCATTTTTTTATTTATTTTATATTTACGTTAAATCATCGTAAATCGATTTGAAAAGTTTGTAAAATGTCATTTTGACGTTATTTATATAAAAATGAAAACAAATACTAACCTACGCCAACATTAGTGCAAATGAACTTGCCTCACCGGAATCCATCTTTATTTTAAGTAAAATCGTGGCAACAGTTTAAAATTTTTTTCCCGCCAATGTTGATTTTCATCAAAACAAAATTTTTCCCACTTTTATTTATTTAAATCAAAATTATTTTGTTTAAAAAATAATAATATGAATAAACAAAAAATTTATTCAACAAAAAAATTATATTAATAATAATAATAATAAAAAAAAACTTTTTATAAATACAAATATATATATATATATGTTTGTATGTGTGTTATGTGTTTTGTGTTGTATGTTCGTATAATATAATTAACATTGATATGTAAAAAAATTTTAATTAATTTTAATTAATTATAATAATAATGATGATGATGAGTAATAATAATAATAATAATGATGAGTATTTTAATTATATATTTATATCAGACTTTAATGGTCGATTTTGTGTGAATATCACGAAATATTAATTACATTTCAGTTTCTTTCATTAAGGTATCTATGGTAACAATATTTGATTGATCCAATTCAGTTTCGTCGCAAGAATCGGATATTGTGTTTCCTGTTGTTGTCGCATTTTCTGATTTGGAAAAACTCCAATTAATCAGAAAATCGGGAAGCTTTGACTAGGTATTCGGTTCAAAACTAATCGATGGCCTTTTTAAATCAATCATTGGCATGGCTGTTGATTCCTAATCATTAACAAGAAAATTGTGTGTGTTTGGGTACGCCATCACTCATCATGTACAGACTAAAGAAGAAAAAAAACTTACCCCGTTTATGTGAGGCATATCTAAAGGTGCAGGCACGTATGTGGTTAATGGAGAACATTTGGCACAACTTCTTCTCAAGGCTGGTTTTTGTTTTGAACCGTGGCAACGCATGGCAAATCGCAATTCTTCAGCCATTTCAGAACATAAAGATTGCTGTTTGAAAAAACAATAACACCAATTACAGAAATCTCATTGGGATTATTATTATTATTATTATTAAAACAATATGTCTTACCTGATCCATTCTAGCATTTTTTTTAGAATTCCAACAGAATTCTAAAAATGCAACTATAACAGCTAATGCAAGGCCACAAAGCAAAACGACAAACACACCGCCTGTACACAAGAAAAAAAAAATAACCGTTAAATGACGTCACAAAAACAATTTGTTTAAACAATTGTTAATTTTTTATGGTTTTACCGATATTTTCGATTCCTAAAGCGTTAGCTTTACTTTCTTTACTTTTATCATCCCTGTTACAAACATCACCCGTGTTTTTCCACCATTTATCATATAATATTTGTGTTATTCCTTTTTCTTGTAATTCCAGAATAGCTAATGAGATTCTATCTCTCCAGGGCGACCCTAAAATAAAAACAAAAAATTACGCGCATCCTTAGAATATAAATTAATAATAATAATAATAATTTTTTTATATTAATTTTAAAGATTTTCCGGTTTATCTTTAAAAAAAAAAAAAAATTGTAATTAATTAAAAGATTATGTAAATAATTTTACATGGATTTTTTTTTTAAAAACTAATAAATTACATAATTTATTAATTACGAAAAAAAAAAAGAGAAGAAAATTCGTTGAGGAGGTGGCTATGATGGCAGCAACGGTTTTTCTGGAAAAAACGTTATTTTTTCCCCTCTCTCTCTCTCTCTCACCTTTTGGAGTTGCTATCCCGTATCCTTTACTATCGAGTAATCCTCCTATCTGTGTCAGATTACAATCCCTTTGAACTACGTAATCCAACATGGTTGATTCCATGAGGAAGGCATAATTACCATCTAACACCCGTTTGACTCCTTCGTCGTAAGAGGGTACGAAAACTGATGGTTTTTTACTTTCCATAAATCTCCACATTTTTTGATAAATCCCTATTTTAGAATCCTGTAACATTTATACGCGTTGTGTTTACACAATTTCACATCGGGATAACATGAAAAAGGGTAGGGAGGAAAAGAAGGAGGAGAGGGAGGAGGAAAAGGAGGAGGAGGAGGAGGAGAAGAAGGAGGAGGGTAGAACAACAAACAAAAAAAAAATCTAACCCTGAAAAAAGTCATTGTCGAACCACCCTCGAGCGTTCCATAAGATATTTCAGTTTGTTCTGCTAAATCCGCAGCGTTTTCAATCGGCGTTATCATTCTTTCGACGGTTAGAAAAGCCGCCAAATTGGCAGTATAAGATGAGATGATAATGAGAGTGAAAAACCACCAAATACCACCGACGATTCTCGTCGATGCCGCCTATTAAAAAAATAAAAACTTTTTTTAAAATGAAAAGAAATTTTTTTGGGGGGGTAGGGGATGGATTTAATCGTCGTACCTTCGGATTCAAACCGGAACCTTGTCTTAAAAATGTACCCGTTATAAACCAGAAGGAATTCGATACGGAAAATTGATTTTCTATAATGTCGGAATCCGTTTGACACGGATGAGGATTGTGCCATTCGTAGGGTGAAAATCTCGCCATTACGAACAATGTAAAACTGACTAATATGTATGCTGCCAGAACGTAAATCCATATTTCGACAGCTAAAGGATTCATAAATGAAAAAAGTCTTGTGGGTTGACTCGTGGGTACCTGAAAAACAAAAAAAAAACAAATTTCACAACTACGAAAACCTTTTCAAAGGTTAAAAAAAAAATTTTTATAAAAAAACCTTAAAAAGGATTCCAATTCCTAAATTCATAAAAGGTTTCGTAAAGTCGATGACACTTTCTCTTGCATAATTAATGGTTATTGATGCTACAGCAAGATCCGCTCTCTGTGACAACAGAAATTTACGATTTTATGTAATTAATTTTGTCATAAAAATTTATGCTTGTGTAATTAAGAATTATCTACGGTCATTTTTTTTTTTTTTTTTTTTAAGGACATGTTTTTTGTTGAAAATTAAATGGACCCGGAGGAGGGGGGAAAAGAGACGACAGGATAATCTATTCGATATATCCCTCCTCCCCGCGTACCCCATAAAAAAAATCAATTTTACGATTGTTGACGTCAGTATTAAAAAAACTACACAAAACTTATACTCATCTCTTTTTCCTTTATAATAATTTATTCGATATTATTTTTTTTTAAGGACATCTGCCCCCGCCGCAACCTCTTCTACCCCCTCCCCACCCCCCACATAAATCCGCCTTATCATTTAAAATTTTTTTAAAATTATTATTATTACTTTTCGAAAACTTTTAAAAATTCATTCAATTTTACAATAAAATCATTTTTTAATCAAAAAAAAATTTAATTTTATTATTATTATTATTTAAATAACCTTTTGAACCTTTTCGTAAAAAAAAAAAAAAATCTGACGCCGAGTTTTTCCCGTTTCAAATTCATAAATATTATTATTATTATTTAATTTTATGCGGGAGAATAAAAAAAAAAAAAAAAATTCATTAAGTTTTTTTTTTCGAGTTGAATTCCAGGCTGATACATTTACTGGATGCTGGAGGAAAGGAAAGAGATTTCCGGGGAGAAACATAATAATAATAATAATAATTTTAAAGTCGAACAAATGTTTTTTTAGAAAAGGGAAGGGAAGGAAAGGGAATGTTATGAAATTTTTTTTTGCAGCGCATACCTTATCCATGAGTTCTCTAACGATTCCATTCCATTGTTTAGTTTCTTGATCCAGGACGCCATATTTATGATCTGGAACTAATCTTATTTCGTAATTAAAACCCACTTGACCCGATATCCATCTTAAAAGGTCAATACAAAAACCTTCGAACCTTGCATTACCCGTTAAATTTTTATCATGTCTAACCATTACGTAAGGTCTCTCCTGGAACAAATTCAATATTATTATTATTATTATTATTATTAGAACTGGAATAATTTCAGGTTTTGTTCAGGTTTTCCATTTACCTCTCTCGTCATGACTACGAGTGTTATGTTATTTGTATTTGTTTCGTAAAATGCGTTCGGATCCGTTATATTGATTCCACTAAATGGATTCCATTGACCGACTTTTTGTAATTTTTCCTTTTTCAATTTTAACAAATCCAATTTGAAATTACTTCTTTTACCCTCTTTGAATTCGACTCTACCCGTCAAACCGTTTATGTAAACCTAAACAATTGTTTGTAATGAGTTAAAATAATAAAATAAAAAAAGAGGGGCGTTGGGGGCGGGCGAAGGTATGCCGAGAGTGATGGTGGTGTAATATTGTAATTCAAATACTCGGAAGTTGGGTATAGAGGATGTTTTAAGGGTTGGGGGTTTTGGAATTGGATTTCTAAGGCGTTCGATAGGGGTTTACCTTCGGACCTCTTGGTCCCCCAAATTGGGGAGGGAGATGGGAGATTGAAGGTCGGAAGAAATAAAAAATGGAGCGTTGGGGAAATTGTTAGGTCGTGGGACTTGAGGGTGGGATGAGAAATAAACTATTGCGAGTGCTTTTTCCTCTTTCAAAAGTGAACGGTTATTTTGCGGGGGGGGGGAGTTGGAGATCCTCAAAAAAATTAATTTAATTTCGACGACGTGTCAAAAGAATTTTTTTTTTTTTTGCATTTTTTTACGTGTTATGAAAAATAAATAAAAAAAATCAAATCGTTTGAAAAGTTAAATAATAATATTCGGGGGGATTTTGCGGGGAGGGGGAGAGAGAGATAGACAGGGAGTTCTAGGGGGGGAAAGGGTAAACGTTAAAAATAAATAAATAAAATTAAATTAAAAAATAAAAAATCGAACGGACATTTTTTTTTTTTTTAAATTCATTAAAAACTTTTTTCTTTTTTTTATGTAATATTTAACCTTTTTTCCATTTTCTCGAAAAAGAAGGTTTTTTTTTCGAGAAAAAATTTTCAAGATGGAGGAGTCAAAAGAGAGAGAGAGAGAGAAAGAGAGATAGGGAAAAAGTTTTACGTAATTACGTTAGCAATTACGTAATTTAATATTTGTATTCTTCCGAGACTTTTTTCTTTTTCTTCTTTTTTCATTTGACGGCCCTTTTGGGGACGAACGACATCTTATAACGAATTTTTTCCTTTTTTTCTTTCATTCGTTCGATGAATTTAAAAAAAAAAAAAAAATTCACCGCCATCTTGAATAATCAAAACAAAAAAAAAAAAACAAAAACATTTTTTTTTTTTTTTAAAATATTTTTTTTCGTTTAATTTTTTTTAAAAAATCAAAAAATCTTTTTTAAATACTTATTCTAATAATCGAACAAACGGAAACGGAAACGAAAATTTTTACGGTTTTTTCCCTTACCTCTAGCCCGATAATAATAATAATAATAATAATAATAATGGGAAAAACGTTTAAAATTTCGGAAAACGGAATTAAAATAATTGATTAAAAATGATTGATGTAAAACGGATAATTACATAATTATGATAAAACGAAGACGTGTTGAGAAATTTTAAAGTGTCACTAGATAAAATCACGTCATATCGGAATAAATTTTAATTGAAAAAATAATAATAATAATAATGAGAATAATAATAATAATAATTCTTTTCCGTCGATAGAATTTTAATTTCGATTTTTTTTTTTTTTGGATCGCCATCGTTTTTTTTTTTTAAATATAAATCAATCAATCAATCAATCATTCATCGATTTTTACTTACGGAATTAATGAAATTAAATAAATTAGCGCCATTTTCCCAAGGTTTTTCCAAATCGCAGGATAAATTTGCGGGTTTTACCGAATAACTTTTATCCATTGCGGATAAACCTGATGCGAAAACGTGAACTGCATCGTACATGAGAGCAGGTTCGACCTGAAAATCAAAAAAAAAAAAAAAATTATTTACCTTACAAACGGGTGTGCTTGCGCGTGTGTGGAAGAAGTAATTGTAACGGTGACAAAAACGGAAACGGAAATGGATGAGGGAAAACGGAAATAAACATTCGCTTAATATTAATTTCGTCGTTCGTTTTATTTCACATCAAAGCGGAATCGAATCCGACTTTATTATTATTATTATTATTATTATTATATTATTTGCATTTCGAATGATGAAAAGGAAAAATTTTAATATTTTCAAAATGGCGGATAAAAAAAAAATTTTTTTTAATATTAAATAAATTTTTCTCGTGTTTGCTACGCGTTTTAAAAAAAATTATTATTATTATTATTATTATTATTATTAGTAAGTTACCAAGCTTTCAATCGAATTTCATAGAGTAAAAAAACAAAACAAAAATTAAATTGTTTTTAATTGTTTACACAACCATCGATGCTTTTTAAAAAAAAAAAAAATTTTTTTTTTTTTTTTATGAAGAAAACGATTATAAAAGGAAAACCAATTATAAAATAAAATTAAAAACAGAAGAAAAAGGGAAAAATAAATAAATAAATAAAAAAGGAAAACAAGCATAATAGTAATAATAATAATAATAATGATGATGATGATAAAAAAAAAAGAAAGATGGCGAAAAATAACAAAAAAAAAAAAAAAAAAAGGGTAATGAGATTTTAATTTACTTTGAGATTGACGATCAACTTTTATTTTTTTTTTATTCCCTCCCCTCATTCCTCCTCCCCATTCCTCCCCACTCTCCCCCTTTATTCCTCCTCCTCCGTTCCATCCCGCCGACCGACACGCCATCTTTAACTCGATGTTAAAAAATAAAAAAAAGTTTTAAATATTTTACACATTTTTTTTTTTTTTTCTGTAAACAAGAGAGGAAGAAAAAAAAGAAAAGTTAAAACGTTAAATTATGGAGTCCATCTGGAGAAATTAATTAAAAAAAAAAGAAAAAAAAAATCAGTTTTTGACGTTTTGATATATTATTATTATTATTCTTTCTTTTCTTTCGCTTTTTTTTTATTTTATTTAAAAAAATTAATTTTAATATTATTATTTAATTAAATGAAAAAAATTTTATTATTATTATTATTATTATTATTATTACGAATCGATCTTATAACACGTGAATTAGTTGTGTAATAAGACTCTCTCCATTTTTTTTTTCCTTATTGGAATTTGGTTTCGTTACGTTTTTTTTTTTACTTTTTTAAATTAATTTTAATGTCGTTAAATTAAAATATAAAAATTTCATTATTATTATTATTTATACGGTTGTTGAGAATCGATCTAATGCCACGTTAATAATTATAATATGAAAGAATGAACATGAGTAAGATTCGATTGGTTTTTTTTTTTTTCATTAGTAAATTTTTTTTTGATTTATGTACAAAAAAAAAGAAAATTTAATTATTATTATTATTATATTATTATTCGGGATTGATCTAATGCCACGTTAATAATTATAATATGCAAAAATGTACAAAAGTAAACGTCGATTCGTTTTTTTTTTGTTTTTTTCTTTTGTTTCTTTACTCGAATTTGATTTTCTTACGTTTTTTTTTTATTCGTAAATTTTTTTCGATTTTGAAAATAATCGAGATAATCGATTATTCGATCCATGTGTTAAAAAATAGCAATTATCATTATTATTATTCAGAATTGATCTAATGCCACGTGAGTAAGTCGTAAGCGTCGTTTTTTTTTTTTTTCATTCTCGAATTCAGCTTCTTTAGAATTTTTTTGTTACGGTTATTTATTTATTTATTTTATTATAAAAAAAGAAAAAAGATAATAATAATAATTATTATTATTACTATTTAACATTGATCTAATGCCACGTCATTGAGTAATAAAACTAGATTTTTTTGTTACCGTAATTCGGTTTCTTCACATTTTTTTTATTTTTAATTTTATTATAAATAAAATGAAAAAATTTTAATAACAATAAAAATTATTATTATTATTATTCAAAATTGATCTGATGCCACGCCAACAAGTAATAAGACTCGATTTGCTTGTTATTGCAGTTCGGTTTCGTTAAGTTTTTTTTTTCTTTGTGTGTTTTTCTTGTAATTCTAATTTTAAAAAAAATCTTTTATTATTATTACTATTTGAAATCAATCTAATGCCACGTTAATAAGCAATCAAAAGTAAAAGATGGATAGTATAAGTAAAAGAAAACCGATTTGTTATCAATTCAAAATCGATCCGGTAAGAATTTATTATTATTTAAATCAATTAAAAATTCGAATTTAAAAGAAAAAAGAAAAATAATAATAATAATAATATCACCGCCTTGTTTAATCGTTTTTTTTCTTTTTGTTTTGTTTTTTTACTCTATGATTTACGTCATGGTAAATATTTTAACGTTTTTTTTTTGTTATTTATTTCGTTTTTCAATTTAAATTTAAAACAAAAACCAAAAAATTACTTCCGCACGTTTCGAAACGTTCGTTTTTTTTTTTTTCGTTATCCCACCGGATATTATTATTATTATTATTAATAAAAACATTATTTGAAAAAAAATCGCTTTTCAAATAATAATAATAATAATAATAATTAAATTTTATTAGAATAAAAGAAAAAAAAATTAATTTTCGCCAATAGAAAAAAAAAAAATGTCGAATAAAATTTTATTTTACGTTTGAAACGAAAAAAAAAAATTTTTTTTTTTTTAAAAAAATACTTTGGGGTATATTTAAAAAGATTACCCGTTGAACAAAAAAAAATTTCCCTTTTATATTATAAAATATTAAAATAAACGGGGAATTTGTAAAATTTAAACGTTTTTAAAATATAAAAAAAAAAACCGTTACTTTTTATTCCCACAAAAATTATTCCCAAAAAAAAAAAAACAAATTGAAAATTTGTTTAAAACGGTCATTTTAATAAAAAAAAAAAAAGAGAGAGAAATAAAATATTATTGCGGTAAAAAATAATTTTATTTTTATTTCGTCAAAAACGTGTCTTTAGATAAATGGCCGATTTTTTTTTTAAAAAAAAAAATTTAATTTTAAAAAATATTCATTCTATTCATTTATTTTCTTTACCGACGGAATTTAAAAAAAAAAATGAATGAATAAATAAAACGTCACGTGTTATATAAACCGAGTGGAATTAGAAAAAAAAAAAAACGTGTAATTAAAAATGAAAAATTAACCGTTTTATAACGAATTCACGAAAAAAAAAACTCACACGTTCGAAAGGTTTAATTTAAAAAAAAAATGCGGTTGTCGGTTTTTATTATGATAATGACACGATTTATTATTTGATTTTTAATAATAACAACAAGTAAATAGTTCTTTTTTTTGTCATACCTGAATTATACCTGAGCTGTTAAGAATCGCTTGTCCGACAGGTTGAAATTTTTCCATTTGTTGAAGTACGTTATAAACGTTTGCATCTTCCACGTCTACCAATCTAAATGCCGTTATGTTAACTGAATTATATTTAAAATCTTCTAAATCGAATGTTTCTATATCCTGCCACGACAAAAAAAAAAAAATTTTTAATTCAACGAAAAAAAAGAGAGAGAGAAAAAAGAAAAATTTACTCACAAATGTCGTGAACATGTAATGATATCTATAATCGTTCATTTGTAATTGTAAAATCTGAAATGATAAATTTTATAATTAATCAAAAAAAAAAAAAAGTGGAAGGAGAAAATGGAAAAACAAAAAAAAAAAAAAATCCAAAAAGAAAAAAGGAAAAAAAGAAAGGAAGGAAGGAAGGATTCACAAACAATATCAACAAACCGTATAAAATATTCAAAAATTCATTTAAAATACTAACTAAGTACTAAATGAGAGAAGAAACCTTATCAAATTGAATTAGTTTTAAAGGGGTCGTGGCAATAGAAAAAGGGACGAAACGAACTGTATATTTAATTAAATCCACCCCCGGTGAAAATTACAATATCGTTTTAAAATTTTTTTTTGTCATTTTTTTTTCTTATATTTAAAAAAAAATTATTTTTTTCAATTTTTTCGATCGTGTAATTAACAACGGAAATTTTATATTTAAAAAAAAAAATGGCGGAAATATCGTTAAAGACGGTTAAATTTTACCGGACCGCCATTTTGTTATTTTTTAATTACTTTTAACGATCGAACAATCGACGCCGATTTACTATTTTAACATTTCCGTAAAAATTTTTTTTTTACCCCCTTTTATCATCATCATCATCATCATCCCCACCACCACCACCACCATCATCATCATCATCATCATTATTATTTAGTTCGAAAAAGAAATCGACCGAATTTCGGCGCCAATTTTTTTTTTTTTTTGCGACTTTTTTCTTAAAATATTTCCCATTTCCCCCTCTCCTTTTTTTTTCTTAAAATGCATTTTTCTGCCGCCACGTCATCTTTCTACCCCTTCCCCCCTACGCCATTTGTTAAATAAAAAAAAAAAATTTATTTATTACATTACAACTCACGATAATAAATTTGTATTAAAAAAAAAATATTTACGGCTCTCCTTATAAATACAATTATTATTATTATTATTACTATTATCGTTTCGGATTCGGTTAAGGGTCGAAAGGTTATTGTTAAAACCTTTTTTTATGTAAATTATTGTTATAACCTTTTTAAGTAAATCCAAATTAATTAATTGTTATTTAAAGTTCGAGAGTTTTAAACGCGGTCTATGTATTTATGTATATGTTATTTAAATCCTTTTATATATATATATGTATGTGTATAATTTTTATCGTTTTATTATTATTATTATTTTTATGTAATTAATTCCGGATACGGTACTGATTAAAAAATAATAATAGTAATAATAAATAATAATAATAATAATAAAAATCGATTCGAGAAATTTAAATAGGATTTTGACAATGACAATTTTTGTATTGAAATATATAAAAAAATTTACTTTTTATTTGTTTGTTTTCCTTTTTTTTCCTCCTCTCCTCTTCCCCTTTTTCTTCTCTCTCCCCCCCACCACCACCATTTTCCTTTCCTTTGTTTTTTTGATTTTTCCCGGATTCCTACAAACGTTATTTAACGGAAGAATAACAGAAAATTCGTTCATTTGACACGTTAAAATTTTTTTTTTTTTCGTGTGACGTCATTAATTATAAAACTAACGTTTTATTTCTCTCACTCTCTCTCTCTCATTTGTTTTTTACAAAACACACTCTGCGATTCGTTGTACATCCGTTTCCGGTTTTTAAAAAAATATTATTTCCGGTATAATCGGTAACGTTCGTTTTTTTCCTTTTTTTTCATTTTTATTTAAAATAATTTATTTATTTATTTAATTAAAAAATTTAAACGTGTCAGAAGATAATTTTATTATTATTATTATTATTATTATTATTATTATTTTGTCGTTAAAATTAAAAACAAAAGGAACGATGTTGTTGTAATAATAATAATAATATTTATAAAAATGAAAAATTTGTTTTTAATTAGTCCGGAAACAAAAAAAAAGCAAATGAAAAAAAATTATTATTTTCTTTGTGCGACAATATTTTTTTTTTCAAAGGGAAAAATGTCGCCATTTTACAAAAAAAATTTTTTTTTTATTTCGTTTTCTTCCGTAAAATTTTTAATTTGAACTGGACACGTGGTGGTGAGGGGTAAAAAAATATTAAAAAAATTTTTCTTTTTTGTAAGAAAGTCAAGACGGAGAAAAATGTCGCAATTTTATAAAAGTTGTGTAACTTTTTAACCTTTTCCCTCTTATTTTCTCCTTATGATCATCACATATTTAATTTGACCTTTAAAAAATTATTTGCTCACTTTTATCTTCTTACCTGTCAAAATTTTTAATAATAATTTGGCCAAAAAAAAAATAAAAAAAAAAATTTTACGGAAAAAAAAGGAAGGAAAAAAAGGAAAGAAAAAAAAGGAAAAATGGTGGTAAAGTTTTTAAAGTTTTTCCTTTTTTTTTTTTTTTCCATTTTAAAATGGATGCTCGGTTGTCACGGTTTAACCTTACACTGAATACCAATGACAAAATCAACCTTTTTAGGCCTTCGAACCAATTTATTTATATGAAAAAAAAAAAAATTCAAATCCACAGATTCCTTTTTTCCTTTTTTTTTCCTTTTTCTCTTTAATTTTAATAAATTTTCAAAGCAAAAAAAAAAAGGAAAAAATTTGTAAAAATTTAAATCTAATTTT